CTATTCTTCTTCAGGAGAACAAGAAGAATAGTCAACTACTCTAAAGCGCTCAAGTTTTGGGTCTTATTTTAAGTCTATTGCACTTTATATGTGATCCTTTGGGGGGGGGCAAGGTTTATTTGACCGAGGGAAGCGAGAGAATGTGCGCCACAGGCGCATCCATTACGGCCGGTGGCCAGGACTTGCCTTAGAACCCTGGGAGCTCTTGGGCTCTGGATTAAATTTTATGCATTCTCCTGTTTCCTGGGGGTAATTTTCCTAATTTTGGTACGTTTTTGCTGGAACAGGTTAAAATGTGGGAGGGGGCACCCCACACTCCTCCGCATTCTCCGCCACTTTAGTAGTGCTAACAGTATAGGGAATTTCCAATTAAGTTCTACCACCCTTGCGGATAGGCAGTGTATACTTTTGTGTAATGGTACTGTTTAAAACGAACAAGCAACACACTGTCAGATACATCTTTACACAATTCAGTTACAGTGTTCAAAGGAAGCGAATGATAAACGCGTTCCTAAGCGAAATCTTTCCTGCGAATCAGGCCAACATGAATAAAGATCTTATAAAGGCTGACGAAAAATAACCTCAATAAAGATCTTATAAAGGCTGACGAAAAATAACCTCAATAAAGATCTTATAAAGGCTGACGAAAAATAACCTCAATAAAGATCTTATAAAAGTTGACGAAAAATAACCTCAATAAAGATATTATAAAGGTTGACGAAAAATAACCTCAGTAAAGATGTTATAAAGATTGACGAAAAATAACCTCAGTAAAGGTTGACGAAAAATAACCTCAATAAAGATCTTATAAAGGCTGACGAAAAATAACCTCAATAAAGATCTTATAAAGGCTGACGAAAAATAACCTCAATAAAGATCTTATAAAGGTTGACGAAAAATAACCTCAATAAAGATCTTATAAAGGCTGACGAAAAATAACCTCAATAAAGATCTTATAAAGGCTGACGAAAAATAACCTCAATGCTGCTTGGGAAAATGCGACGAGTAGGACTGAATAGTTTACAAGTCTCTAAAAATCTCATAAAAATATTTATGGTTTAGTTTCTTCTGAATTTCTCACAAAGCTACTCGATGGCTATCTGCGCTAGCCATCCCTAAGTTAGCAATGACAGTCTAGAAGGAAGGTGGCTAGTCAACGTCACCTACCGCCAACTTTTGGGCTACTCTTCTACCAACGAATAGCGGGATTGAGTGTCACATTATAACGCCCCCGCGGCTGAAAGGGCGAGCGAGTTTGGTGAAGGGGATTCGAACTCGCGCCCCGCAGTTTGCGATTCGAGCGCCCTAACCACCGGGTCTAAAACGGTAAACTTCAGGGCTTATAATGTTAAAAGTCAGGGTTAAATCCCCGCGGGAGACATATAGCAGATAGCCCACCGTGTGCAGCTTTACGCTAAAACCAATAAACGCACAAATTATGATAAAAAAATAAATCCACGTACCAAGCAAATCGCTTACTCAAATGATAAATTCAAATTCTATAATAATGATCGTAACGTAACCTACCTTGTCTTTTGACACGCAAGTGACCATCTTCGTCGCCTCTAGTCACAGAATACGGAAGAAACAGCAGTAAAACTAAGTAACATGCTTTCATAACTGTCAAAAGAAAAGTGGTTTGCTAATGGCATAAGTAGTTAAACAAATCTATATTTAATTATTTAAAAAATATATTAAGTCTTACAAAAAATAAATAAATAAAAGTGTACAGATGACCCAGGAGTGCTTTAATAGTTTGCAGTTATTTCAAGGAGTTTGTCTTCCGAGCTAACCTACAAATCATTCTAACGATTGCAACAGATAGATAAAATGTATTCATGACCTGTATGGAATACTATTGATAATATTTTAATGAATCTTCCACTGTAATATATATTTACATATACTTTAAAAATGAAATATCTTCAGTTAGCAATAATAAATAGCTCTTGTACACGTGTAAGTGTGAAACTAATAAAAAAAAAGCACGTTTTGTTAGTTTCACATTTATGTCATTTCTTTTCTTTATTTACCAGAGGTGAAACTGAAAATAGAGTCTGTGACGCAAAGGCCTAATGCATTCTCTGATTGGCCGTAACCTCTGTTGTGGACTGCAGTTTTGCCTATTCAAGGCTCACCAGCACAGCTTGGGTCAGCAAACCAAAGGAATACCATTAGGTCTCTTATAATGGTGAAGTTTATATAATATCATTAAACAGTTGGTCCACTTGTATAAGATCGAATAATGAATTCGACGAAATGTTATAACAATATTCACATACCTACATTAATTTAGATTACCATATGGTGAAATGAAACGAACTCAAAACCACGTACACAATTTATGTAATTACTTTATATTCATTTGTAAGCTTGATTAAATAACACCGACCATTTTATTCTAAGAGCTATAATTCCAAACTGGAAGGAGAGATGGCGCTTCATAGTTTGTTTTGAATTTCGCGCAAAGCTACACGAGGGCTATCTGCGCTAGCCGTCCCTAATTTAGCAGCGTAAGACTAGAGGGAAGGCAGCTAGTTATCACCACCCACCGTCAACTCTTGGGCTACTCTTTTACCAACGAATAGTGGGATTGACCGTCACATTATAACGCCCCCACAGCTGAAAGGGCGAGCATGTTTCGTGTGACAGGGATTCAAACCCGCGACCCTCAGATTGTGAGTCGAGTGCCTTAACCACCTGGCCATGCCGGGCCTTACTCAATGGTATTGAAAGAGGTTAAGGATTGGATATGTGACCCACTTACTATTATTTATTTTCTAAGTCCTCAAACAGTGATCATTGAATGGAAGTTGGCTAATGTTACTCTTCTTTTCACGGGAGGTGATACAAATTATTTTAGTAATTATAGGCCTATTAGTCTTACATCACTGGTGGGAAAAGTTTTTGTAAACCCGATAAAAGATGATTTGTAAAATCATTTTATTGGATAATAAGCATGGTTTCACAAGGGGAAAATCTTGTGTTACTAATCTTTCGACAATCTTTGAAAAGGGTACGGGTATAGACTTGGTGTATCTGGATTTTCAGAAAGAATCTGACAAGGATATAGGTTGGCTGATTGAATAGAAAACTCGAAAAAAGCACAGGGTTCTTAAAAGTGGAGTTCAGTCAAACTGGATTAATGACTGTGGTCCCTCAGGGCTCTTTTTGATTTACATCAATGACAGATTATTCAACCTTGCTGGTGACATTGAAGTTTTGAGTGTTGCTATCTGTGAAGATGAGGAGGATGCTTTACAAAAAGATTTGGATCATTTGGTGAATTAAGCAAATAAATGGCAAATGGCTTTTAATTATAACAAGTTCAAGGTAATGCATGTGGGATATCACAATTTAAATTATGAGTATAATTTTGATGGAAATATTCTTAATAGTGTTATGAAAGAAAAAATATCTTACTGTTCTAATTGATCAGTTTCTTAAGCCATCCAAGCAATATGCTGTTGCTATTAGCAGGGTAAATAAGATTTGAGGCATATTAAATACAAGTCTAAAAGGTTATAATGTCATTGTATAAGTCACAGGTTAGGCCACATTTGGAGTATTTTGTTCGGTCTTGGACTCCTTACCTCAGAAGGGATTTTGAATTGTTGGAAAGGGTTCAGAGGAGTGTTACTAAGACGATACTTGGGATAGAAATTTTATCATATTAGGATAGATTAAAAATCATTGAACTTGTTTTCTTTTGAATAAAAGAGGAGTTAGAGGGAATCGTATTGAGGTGTTCAAGATTGTTAATGGAATTGATAGTGTTGATGCATCATCTCGCTTTGTATTTAAAGGTGAAAAGAGTATAACTAGGAGATGCTAGTATAAATTTTGGCAGGGTAAGAGTCTTCTTCAGGTAAGACAACTTTATTCTTCTGACAGTGTGGTTGACCTTTGGAATGGGCTGGCTTTGGGTTTTTTTAGTATTTAATTTAATTTGATGGATAGGACAGCCTAGATGGACCAAAAGGTCGCTTTTTGTTCTTTAATGTTATGTTACATGTTAAGTACAATAGCAGTTTATTGGTAAAAGCACAATGAACAGTATTTACATAGAAGTAAAATTTTATTTTTAACTTAAAGTTGTTATTGGATTATATTTGCTCATAAATCCTCAATATACTACAGAATTCTATTTCTGACATACTTTTAAAGAAAGATAAAATAGTACATACTTCACATGGCAAAATATACTAATAAAATGTAATATATAGAACTAGTTTTGTGTTGATAAATTATATTAAGTTATGACACTCAATATTTTCAGATAAAAAAGCTATACATTATTTAATTTCAATTACTACAGTGCACTATAGAAAACACTGATATTCACCTAAGTATTTTTATTTTTGTTTTCAAAAAGGGTACTGTCATTGTGCTCCACCACTCTCAATGTCATGGAATCAATGCATTTTTGACATAGCAGAATGTAGTTTAAAAACAATCTTTATTTTTACAATGAAAATGTTACCTTTTCTTTATTACAGCTAATTATAATAGAAAAATTCATTTAAATTTTCATGATAAAAATTTTACATATCTATCTTACCTCTGGAACTAACCTGGAAAGAAACATCTCAACATCTTTCCTGCAAATAAAATAAAATTATCATATCTCAAAACATTTGTCTAAAATATACTAAAACAACAAATGATATATATATATATTAGTTTTGTGGAAAACTTCAGTAGTTATAGGAGTTTGAAAAGAGAAAATTTGTTAAATCTTTTTATCCACCTCTTTATAAGTCTAAAATTCTTTCCTTCATTTGTAACAAACTGTTAAACTATCTGCTGCTGTCCATAGTTTAGAACTACCAACCACAGGAAAAATAACTAGCCAGCAGCAACCACAACCAACTCTTGGGCTACAGTGCAACAAATTGTGGGATTCACCCTTACATTATAATGCTTCCATAGCTTCAAGATCAAGCATTTTTATTACTTAATTTTGATTTTGCAACCTGCAAATTGCAAGTCGAGTGCCCTAGTACCAAGGCTGTCTAGAAAACAAAAGTTTTTTCTCAGTTAAATACCTGAGATTTCATTTTGAATGTAGCAGCTTTTGAATGTAATTTTGTTTGTCAACCATATATTTCCAATGAAAGGAAGGATACGTCACTTGGAATAAAAAAGAATACGTAAATATTAATTTTGACATCAAATACATAATTAATAATGTTACATACATCCATACAAAGTAAATAAGGTCTGATATAATGAATTTCAACTGCAGAAGAGAATTGTTCCATGGAAAAAAACACACTAAAAAGTAATGCAGCATAAGCAAAATAATTCTAACACTTTTATCGAATGGCACAATTTAAATTAACATAAATAAAAATAAAAACAATTACAGGTTTTGTAGGTAGTAGTGATCACTGAAATGTCACCCACCATAGTAAGTATGGACTAAACTGAAAAAAAAAAGACCAATAACTAGAGTAATATTAATCATTCAAAAAACCCAAAACTGAAGCTGAGTCCAGCTAAACAATTTCACTAATATTATTATTTCAAAAAATACAATTACAGAGCTATAAGATGGACTGACATACCTCACATCAGGATCCCAGTTCTGAAAATAAAATACAAAGACTACATTATGTTGAAACGTTTTTCTATTTGTCTCTCTTGAAAGTCTTAAGTTATAACTATATAAAATTTATGAATTTTCTGCTATGTACTGATTCAGCTGTAGGTTTCAGAAGTTTTGTTTTCAAAGAAAAATATAGACAGTTTATACACATAGTATTACTTAAAATTATTTCAGACCATGAAAGAGCATAATGTAAAACGAGTTTGAGGTTGAACAACAAAATATGATTAGCTTTCCTTGAGTAAATGACAGCTTTACATTTGCATACTTTTATATTATATTAATAAAATACTTGATTCTTATCTTAACATTTTTCAAGAAAATACTTCTTTAAATTTTGTATTTAGTTTTATTGTTGCATATGAGAAATAATATATTTTATAATCTTAACAGTTAACTCAATCATAGTGATGATGAAGATGAAATTTTAATAAATTAATAAATAGATTTCTAATAAATGAACAACTGATCTCAAAATTTTAAATTCCAAATGTTACATTCTTCACTCATTATATCCATGATTTTATCATTCAGTTCAGGATTTTGCAAGAACAGGTAATCAGCAAATTAATTAGCTTAGAAATTAACAACTTACCTCATTGAGTGCTAGGCTTGCTGAAGTGTGCATAACTGTCAAAAGAATAACATTGATTTCAAGAAACAGATATACAAGTTATGAATGATATATAAAACATACATTTTGCTTATACCAATTCAGCATCAAACATCAAAACAAAATCACGATTTTATAAAAAGCAAGGGGTCACTTGAAATCAGATCTACGCACCAAACATAAGAGTTACTTCTGAACTAGTAAATAAGTCAACAATACAAACTAAACGACACAGTTTTCATTCATTGGGAATCTCTCCAGTATCAACACTTTTGAAGTATAACAGATACACCCAGAATAACTCTTTGCTAAGTTTCTACAAACTTTTAGAACAATCCTTGTCAGTTATTTTGGCAAGGTAGGAGTCATATTCAGCTAAGACAGTTTTATTTTGCTAACAGGGTGGTTGGCCTCTGGAAGAGTTGTTTTCAAATGTTGTGAAGGCAGTAAATTTAAGAGTTTAAGAGAAAGCCTGATAACTATATAAATGATAAGGGCTAGCTTTATGATTTTTATTTTATTTTACTGCCTGTCTGATATAGATGGGAACCCATTCAATAGCATGATTGAAAAACAGGATCTTAGCATATTAGTGAATAAGACACTAAAGACATCAAAGTAGTGCACTGTTGCTAACATTAAAGGTAAAACAATTATAGGATGCAACTATATACAAACTGATTACAAGGAAAAGAGGTAATTATACATAAATATGTATACATATACAAATTGTTAGGCCAAACTTGAATTACCAGACAGCCCAAGTATTACAAAACTTCCAGAAGTCTTCTTGATCTACATAACACCCTTCCTTCCCACAGAAATGACTGAATGTTGAGATACAAAGCTAAATATACCATCCCTTTAGAGGCTTTATGTGTTTGCAAACATGGTATCAAATAGACTGATTTCAAGTGATGTATGCATACACAATTAAGTAGACGTTAAACAACATTGGTTGGGTAGTTGAAGTTGATTGGTCAATCACCCATCTCTCAAATATATCAGGTTATGAAGATAGCGATGGTCTCAAAAGCTTGGTATTATGTCTTAACGACTGTCTCTCTGAAATCAATCTCATGAACTTGGGTTGTCTGAAGTACAGTACAGTTTTGGTCACCTTACGTAAGAAAAGTTACCGAATTCTTGAAAAAGGTTCAGAGGTATCTAGGATTCTGGGGATGGAAGTGTTATTTTGAAGGAATATATTAAGATCTCATTATTATTCCGATTAGAAAAGGTACAAGGAAATTTATTGTAGTCCACAAATTATGTGAAGGATCAATAGGATAAAAGTCTGATTTCTTTTTACTGTATTCTAAAAATAACTTAACAAGAACTTGAAGACGATGCTTGCTAATTTAACTTTAAGTTTGAAAAAAATAGTCTATGCTTCTATTATTATTAACAGTTTTATTATACAAAGTGACTAGCTTATGCAGTATCAAAAAACCGCACATTACAGGAAATAAAGAAAAATAACGACTAATTTTAAAATTCCTCAGGGTACTTCGGTGTACAAAGACAACTTTGCAAGATGAAGAACAAATGGTTCTTTGTTGACCGTATAATAACGGTATATGTTATTGTTATGTTTTATGTTCCGGGTTTCATCTGACGTTAGGCAATACTTACTTTGAACATGAAGAAATCCTACAACAAACTGCGAAATTTCTGGTAATTGTTTAATAACTTCTTCTGTAATAATATGGCAACCTCGTTCCAAAGGTCTCAAATTAATTTTTTTCTGAAACCACGAGGAACCACGTATAATTGCACCACCTTGGAAAGAAGATGCCATATTTATAAATAACATCTATTGACAAAGCCCTGAAATGTGTTGTTATTGGCAAGACGACTATATTTCTATTCAGAAGAAACCTCGGTGAGCACCTAATAAGTTAAAAGAGAAAAGAAATCGTTTCAAGTGTCATATTTTTTTGTGTTTATTTATTCTATAAGTAACTTAATTAGATATTATTTACTAATATATATATATATTAATTTTCTCCAACTATTGCATTGTTTCCTTTTATCGAACGCAAAACATTATGGTAGTTATCCTCTTAGATACATAATCTGGATACACGTCATAAATGCTTCAAGTAGTTGGAGGAAGAGGGGTCGCAGCGGACCAACAATCGTTGGAGGTTTTTGCTTGGCCACGTGATTTTTGTATTTCATAAATTTATCAATCTTTTCTTGAACTCAGTTACATTTTCTACCTCCACCACCCTTGAAGGCGGCTCATTCCAAAAGCCAAACGCCCTGTTTGAAAAGTAATACTGTGTTACGTCTCTGTATGTTTGTTTGTTAATTCTTCTAAGATACAAGTCCTTTCTTTATAAAACTTGTTTATTCTTCCTCAATA